AACTATTGAATGAGAAGATATTTGCAAATAATATATTCAATATGGGGTTAATATCTGAGATATATAAAGAACTTATACAACTTAATACCAAAAAAAGTCCAATTAAAAAATGGGCAGAAGCAGGTGGAGAAAAACAAGTACCAAATGAGTTCACTCATTTGTGGAGTATAACAACCAAGGAAAACTGAAGGAACTCAGCAGACTCACAGACTCCAAGAAGGGACAAGTGGTTACCAAAGGGAAGGGTTGGGGAGGGTTGGTGGGGAGGGAGAAGGGGATTGAGGGGCACTGTAATTAGCAATCACAATTTAGGTAGGTCACAGGGAAAGCAATATAGCATGGAGAAGACATGTAAGGACTTATAGCATCCTACTATCCTGATGGACAGTGACTGCAATGGGGTGGAGGGGGACTTGATAATATGGTTAAATGGTGAAACCATGATATTGCTCATGTGAAACCTTCATAAGATTGTATATCAATGATACCTCAATTAAAAAAAAAAATGGGCATTAGACCTGAACAGACATTTTTCTAAACAGGACATACAGATGGCCAACAGACACATGAAGAGATGTTCGACATCATTAATCATCAGAGAAATACATATCAAAACCACAATGAAATCACCCCACACCAATCAGAATGGCTACTATTCAAAAGACAAGAAATAACAAGTGTTGGTGAGGATGTGGAGAAAATGGAACCTTCCTACACTGCTGGTGAGAACATCAATTGGTGCAGCCACTGTGGAAAGCAATATGGAGGTTCCTCAAAAAAATAAAAACAGAACTTCCACACAACCCAGTAACTTCACTTCTGGGTATTTAACCAAAGAAAATAAAAACACTAATTTTTTGAAAAGATACATGCACTCCTATGTTTATTTCAGCATTATTTACAATAAACAAGATATGCAAGCAACCTAAGTGTCCATCAACAGATGAATGGATAAAGAAGATGTGGTATACATAAACAATGGAATATTATTCAGCCATAAAAAAGAATGAACTCTGGCCATTCACAATGTGGATGGACTTAGAGGATATTACACTATGTGAAATAAGTTAGGCAGAGAAAAACAAATACTATATGATTTTACTTATATGTGGAATCTAAAAAGCAAAACAAACAAACTCACCAAAAAAACAGAAATAGACTCATGAATATAGAGAATAATGAGTGGTTGCTAGAGAGGAGGTGGATGAGGGGATAGACGAAATAGGTGAAGGGGATAAAGAAGTATAAACTGCCAATTATAAAATAAATAAATCCTGGGGATGAAAAGTATGGCATAGGGAATATAGTCAATAACATTTTAATATCTCTGTATGGTGACAGATGATAACTACAATTATTGCAGTGAGCATTTCATAATGTATGTAGTTGCTGCGCCACTATGTTCTATACCTGAAACTAATGTTGTATGTTGACATACTTAAATACAAAAAACAGATTATGAAAGTAAAAGAAACACACCAACTTCTCACAGTAAATTTACAATTTTTCAACAATTTTAAGACTCTGAGTGATGATAATAGACATTTTATATGCTGCCTCATCATACGGGCAGAGCAAATCAGGAAGAAATTCAGCTCCCTCTAAACTTTGTTATGTGTGACCTTGAACAAGTCACTGTCGGTAAAATTGTAATATTTCCAGAACATCTCGCCTAGCTTTAGTGCATCTACATATCAACAGGCATTCCTAGGGAGTGGAGAGAAGTAGTTCATCTCCAGATCAATGGGTAATTACCTGGGCAACTGAGGGCTTTTCTGAACCTGAGAAGTTGAAGGGAGGTCTTCCTTGCTTCTGCCCAAGCAGGAGAGAGAAACAGCCCAGACCGCAGTTTGTAAGCAATAAACCGGTTTTAAATTTTATTTCTCCCTTTGACTGATTTCAGTTTTAGAGGTATTTTGCCCTGGGATTTCCTCTCCCTGGAGTTAGAGTCACTGAAACACAGTATGCACTCAATAAGTACTGATTGATTAAATACAGAGACACCATAATTCAAAGATTAGTCATGAGCTTTGGAAATGTAAGAAATCAGAGTCATCCATTTATCTTAAGGATGACTGGGATCTACTCATTAAACTCACAAGGACCTGATTTAATAAAACAACATGCTAAATGGGAAATATTAACTACAATAACAATTGATTTTTTCATCTGAATACAGCATCTTTAACTGTTCAACAAGGTGATTAAATACTACAGAAGGTGCTTTGTGAGATTATACGAAGTAGAGGATTTCAGAGGAAACATTAACAGTTTACCAATCCTTACTCTAATGATCTCTAAGTTTAAAGAACACACCATCTTTTATAATCAAATCACCACCTCCCATTCTCAAAAGCCAGCCATCTTTCCTTTTTTAATATTATATACTAGTTACTAAAGGTTCCATGCCATATTCCTACATTGGGGGTGTGTGTGAGGGTTTTTCTGACAAATCACCAAGCAATTGGGGGTCCTACAATTCTGACACCATTTGCTTGGAGAAAGAGTCATATCACAGGTTAAGGGCTCAGTTCCACCAGACTGTTTCCTTCTCCCCTACTTCAAACCTAGTTGCAAATCCAGGTTGTCCCTCTGCTTCTGATCTATCAGCTATACATAATTCCAACAACCCCCTCCTGGGTTCAATTAATTTGCTAGAATGGCTCACAGATCACTAATTACTGGTTTATTGTAAAAGGATATAATTCAGGAACAGCCGAATGGAAGAGATGCATAGGGAGGTGTCTGGAAAGAGCATGGAGCTTCTATGCCACTCTCCTAGCACCTCCATGTGTTCACCAACCCAGAAGCTCTCTGAACCCCATCCTTTTGGGTTTTTATGGAGGTTCTATTACATAGGCTTGACTGATTAAATCATTGGCAGTTGGCAACTCATTCAATCTCAAGCCCCTCTCACTGACCTGGAGGTTGTGGGGTGGGACTCAAAGTTCCAACCCTCTGAACACAAGGTTGGGTCCTCTGGCAACCAACCCAGACCCTTAGGTTACCTAGGTGCTCTCCTAAAGTCACCTCATTGTCATATCAAAAGACAGCTTCAGCTTTCACACTTAATGAAATTCCAAAGGAGCTCTGAGCCAGAAAAAGGACCAACACCAAATATACATTTCTTATTATAAATCACAACATCACAGTTACCAACAGCAATTCTAACCTTAAAATATTACTCTGTATTACAATTTGTAAGACTAAAGGTTATCTTTTTGCTATTTACATTTTAATTTGTAGAATTCCAGAAGTGACTTTAGAGTTACTTTAAACCCAGCAACTGTATTTATACTGTTTGGGGGAGATGTCTGCAGACAGTTAATTTCATATTCTGTAAATTTTTATTTACACTCTACAGGAGCAGTGATGCCTCCCGACCTGGTCACCAGCTTATGGTGTCTTAGCTTTACCACAGGGCCCATAGCCCTGTATCTATCTACTTATTACTAATAAGGAGAAAAGGAAAGGAATCCAGATGAAATATTTTAGGGCATTGATTCAAATCTTATTTTGGTACAGACCATTATGAAAATTTAATGAAAGCTTCCATAACTTTCTTCCTAGAAAAATGTACATACACACAATTATTGACATACTTTTTTGGCCATTCCTGAATCCTCTAACCCTTGATCAAGTCCCAGGACAAGTATTCTTGCCTTAAGGACATAACTACAATTTCGGATAACATAGTCTAGTGTAGGCTTGACATTAACTTGGAGTCATGCCATCAGACTGACAGTATGCCAAACACAAGGCCATCAATCAAAGAATGACTGCATATTTAAACTGAATGTCCTTTTTAAGAGAAACTGTGGGTAATAAAACAATGTAACTATACATGTCCACATTGCAGCAATTAGTACCGATATCTTTAAATGCAAAAGATATATTAGTTAGCAGTATTACCAACTAATGTTTATCAAGCATTTATTATGTGCCAAGCACTGTTCTAAGTGCTTCACATGAATTCATTTAATCTTTACAACTACCCTAAGACGTAAGTGTATTCTCATCATTTTAAAAATGGGAAAATAGAAGCTTTCTAACCCTACATACTGGAAACAAGACCTAAAACATGCATGATAAACAGTTATTAACAGCAAGTTTCCCTGAACACAATTTGACTTAGTAGTGTATCTATCAAAATCTATGTGATAATAAACCACAATAAAATGCGTTCCACAAATGTTTGCTATAAGAATACTATGTTAACTAATAAATTACTTGGGAAGGTCTTTGATCATTTTAGAAGAAACACACCTTAAACCCCAAAATGTCTGTACTTCCTTCAAATACGAAGAACTACTGATCATCCACACTTTCAAGAGATAACATCAACATTGACATTCTTAGACTATGACACTCCCTCTTAAAACTTTCATTTTTGGACTCACTTCAAAAAGTTTAAGCATTCTTAATAAAAGACATGAGTTGGGGCAACTGGTGGGAATTTGTGCAGAAACTGCCACCCTTTCATCTATAAGACCTGCTCCCTGCCAGGGATCTGAAATGACTTCACCACACACATTCAGCAGATAAATCCCCTCCACCTCGTGGGAACTAAGTCCCCAGGCGGTGAAGTTAGGGTGTGGTGACCTCACTCACATTCAAAGACTTTTTTTTTAACCTGCACAAGCACAGTCTTGGCTGGAACCTGCCTCAGACTTTTCAAACACCCTTTTAATTAAAGCTACAATTTGCACTCCACCCTTCTATTTCTCAAAGCACTTTAGAGAAATTGGAATGTCACTGAGACTGGAGGAAGACAGTATCATTCTGGACATTATTCTAAAATTTTAACTTCTCAAGCAATTGAAAACCCTGAAGTGACTAGGCTGGTATGTGAGAAACTGTTGCTATTCTTCAATACTAATTACTGGCAATGTTATCATGGTATTAGAATCTAGCTCAGGGCCACATGTACAAGGAAGCCTATTAAATATAATCTGAAGACAATTATAATATTGCTTCTAACCGAAGTCAAACTTGCTTACAGTGAGGTCTTTGTACTCTTTGGGTGCTAGGAGAGCCCGACTTTCTTTCCTTCTGAAAAGCTTCATCAGAACCTTCCACAGCATCTTCAAGGCCTTGCTCAGAATCATTTGATTTTCCTGCTTTGTTTATATTGGACTTGTCAAGGTTTTCAGACATTCTCAATTAAGTTTATTCACTTTCCTAGGAAAGAAAAAAAAAAATGAACCAAAATGTTCTAGCTCGGTCACTAGGCAGCAGAGTACCTCTGGGCAAATCATTTATTCTCTTTGGGTTTCAGTGTTCTCATTGTAAAATAAATGGGCTTGCTAAGATCTTAACCAGCTATAATATTCTACTTCACTGAGTAAACAGACACCTGTAATATGATACTTGTAACTTATCAAATTTATGGGCCTGTGCCTCAGATAGAGAGTAACTAGTCTGAATAATTTTGTCCCACTCCTGAGTACCATGTTACAAGAACACAGGCCTTAAACTGTTGGAAGATAACACTATAAACTTCCTGTTTCTATTTTAATCAAACAGTGATTCAATTCTTCAATTCTTTACTTTCATTCCTGAGAGCCGATAGGAAAACTCTTTGGAAATAATACTTTTACTCAAGCTTCCAAATGAAGACCCTGTGCTGAGGAGTTGGTTTCCTGATCCTATTTTGTAGATAAGATACCTGAGGATGACAGCTAGGTCGAACCTTATGAGGCATTGAAGAAGAATATGTGGAGCAAATATTTTTATTAATTCCCTGCCAGTCAGCTGGAAAAAATGGTGAGTAAAATAGAAAGTTACAAAAAACCATAATATATGTGGTTTGGTGGGGTTTTAATATTTTTAGTTGCTGATTAGAATAGGATTTACACTTAAAGCATTGGTTTGGGCCAGTTAAAAAAGGCCTGAAATAGTAGCCTCTTATTCACTGTCAAAGTTTTTGTCAAGTTTTTTTGCTCCCCAGTTTTTTTCATAGAGTTCTCTATTCCCAAAGTATTTCTAATTAAAGGAGAAGACACATGCCTGCATTAACAATACTGCAAATAATTAGCATTTGCACTATTAGCACTTAAAGATCACAAAACGTATTCAAAGCACTAATTAGACTTCATTACACACCTGAAAGATAATCCAGGGATCAAAAGAAACGTTGACTGCTTCTGGAGGTTTGGCAGACTCACTTCCGCACACTGAACAGAAGACTCACTTGATACAATTATCTGAAATTTCAGGTACCTCCATTAAATAGAATAAAGCTACTGGAACTGACATTTTCAGTCTTGTATTATTAATATGAAGGTTGCTTTAATGTAGTTCTCCTCTACCTTCCAACATCCCACTGCAGACACCCATCTTTTCTCTGTCCTAAATCCTATTAGGCTCTGGAAATGCTCCAAGATCCAAAAGATAATATTACTAGCATATTCTATGAGAAAGCACAAACAAAAACACTTCTAATTTTACCCTCTTCACATGTTGAGAATGAGCTCAGAAAGTAAGTCATTCTATGCAGTGAGGAGGAAAGGTAGGATTTCTAGGTCTCTGACACTCAGCTTAGTAAACTAACCCCATCCTTTTAAAATTAACCTCAAGCCCCACCTCCTCCCAGGTGTCCTGTTAGCACCTTTCTCTGAACTTCCGTAGGGCTGGTTTCAGGACATCAGGCATTCACCATTGTCTTAAACACAGATCAAAATATCTTATTTAAACAGGAACAGGAAGATGAAAACGCATGGTCTAAGGAGGACACAGACATATTTACAAGGAAACATAATGAGATTTAACCCTAATTGGCATTATGAAATCACAAAGGGAATATAGCAGAGGGAGGAACTAATTCAGCCTGCAAGGACGTTGGGATAACCTTTCCAGGAAAAGGTGACATTTGAGCTGGTCTTTTTGGAAAGATGGTTCACCCAATTAAAAAATGTTTGGAGGGGCAGAGAAGGTAAAAAGGGGGGCAAGTTTCAGGCGGAGAAAGACAAGTACCAAATGATTTCCCTCATTTGTGGAATATAACAACAGAGCAAAACTGAAGGAACAAAATAGCAGCAGACTCACAGACCCCAAGAAGGGACTAGCGGTTACCAAAGGGGAGGGGTGGGGAAGGAGAGGTGGGAAGGGAGGGAGAAGGAGATTGAGGGGTATTATGATTGCAACACATGATGTAAGGGAGGTTCACAGGGAAGACAGTGTACAACAGAAAAGGCAAATAGTGACTCTGGCATCTTACTACACTGATGGACAATGACTGCAATGGGGTATGGGGGGGCGACTCGATAATATGGATGAGTGTAGTAACCACATTGTTTTTCTTGTGAAAACTTCATAAGAGTGTATATCAATAATACCTTAATAAAAAAGGAAAGAAAGACAAGGGGGGCAAGTTCTCTGAAAAGGCACAAGCAAAGGCACACAAAAGATAGAACAAGTGGCAGGTGATAAAACGGGAAGATGGGTTGAGGCCAGATTATAAAATTGCTAGTTTCTACTTTTTAAATTTTTTTCATCTAGATTTTCAACTTCTTAAGGTCCAAGACCAACCATATTTCCTATACATGCTCCATATCTATAAGTATATTCCCCAAACAGGTACCCAGTATTTGTTGATAGCTGTGTCATCTCTGTGATGTCAGTGTTTGTGGAAGGATGGGCGTTGGTCTCAGACACAGATCTTGGTTCCAATTCTGCCTCTTTACTAGCTGTGTAACTTCAGTTTCCTCATGCGTAAAATGCAGCTACCTACCTCATCGGTTGGGGAAGAATTAAATGACAGAGACTGTGTAAAAGCTGCTGGCACACAACCGGCTTTCCACAAATGGTACTTATAATTACAGGGCTATAGGATGCAGCAGAGAACAATTTAATTGGTTACAGTGATCTCATTCACTCAACAGTCACCAACTCGTGCTCTGCCTAAAAAGGGAGCCATGGGTTAGGAGGATCCTCGCAGGTGCCGTGAAGACAGTTTATCTGAGCCACACGCTGGACCCAAACTGGACACAGGAGACTCCCCAGCAGAAAAGGTCTTTCAGCCAAAGAAAGGTGCTCTGTCCACCGACACCGGCAATGACTTCCTCCGGCGCTCATGCCACTCACTCTCAGGGTCCAGATTCCGTCGTAAACAACTGTTTGGGCTGGCGAGGGAGTGGCGGGGCCGGGAGCAGGCTATGGAAGCGGGGTGCAGCTAGAGCACAGCCTCGAGGGATGGGAGAAAGGCCGCCCTATGTCCACCCGCCCGCCGTCCCTGCCGCTTCCTCGCCTCCATCCGACACGACCGGGACCCAGCCTGACGGGGAAAGGCGAAGGAATGCCTGTGATTGCGACCTCGCGCCTCCCGTGCGAGCCCGGCAGGGCTGTTAGCCTCGGCGCCCGCTGCCCTCACCTGTCGTGGAGTCGGCGTTTTCCCTCCTGCAGCTCCGGCCAGGAATCAGGCGCGGGCCGGCGCCGCGGGGGAAGCGGCGAGCGGCGAGCGACGCGCTGCGGGCAGGGGCTCCTCAGCCTCTGCCCCTCAGAGGCCGCATCCCTCTCCGCGTTGCGGGCGGACCTCCCCGCCCGGCTCGGGTGGGTAGCGGCCAACGCGACCGCTCCTCGGCGTCGGGAAAGGGGAGGCAGCTTTTAGCCAGGAGGCGTGCACCCACGCAGGGCGGCGCCATGTTCCCGTACGGAAAGGCCGGACGCGCGGCCTCGTGCCGGCCAAGGGGCGCAGTAGGCGATGGCTAGAGCCGGGAGGCGCTGTTTCCGCCCAGAGATGCCGTAGGCTCTGGGCCTGCCCATGGGGGCTCAATGGGCGGTGACTGGGAGCCGGGAGGAGCGCGCCCCACGCTGGGCTGGGCTGCGCCATGTTTCCGTACTAAAAGGCGGGCACCTAGGCCGGGGCGGGTAGCGGAAGAGGAGCGGGACGGGGAGCGGGCGCCAAATCTGGCCAGTAAAGGAAAAGGAGAGGCTGCTGATCCGCAACCGCATGCAAAGCCTTTCCAGCCCGAGTTTTCAAATTTAAACACTGTTCTGTAGGTGCACCTGTTTTGTAGGTGTAGCTTATCTCCCTCCCTTCATTTTGCTGTTTAAAAGTGCCCACCAAGCCTCATTTTAATGGTACAGCGTCAGTTTGGTTTGGGGGGGGTCACCTTTTTTATCTAACTGACTTACATTTTGTCTATATAGAAAGACCAAAATTTTAACTCTGAAAGAGGGAAGCCGTGGAGGCAAATGGTTTCCATGAGGGTTCAGCTTGGTTTACTCAGTGCATTTCATTTGTGTTCCAAAAAAGAAAAATAGGTTAAGACAAGCCCGTTTTGGAGCCTTACCTCCCTTCGTCCCAGGCAGTGGAGGCTGTGACTGCCTTGGCTTTGGACTACTACTTGCTTCTCTAAAAAAACCATGCTTTTCTCAGCCTATAGCAGTAAAATAGTGTCTTGCTTGAGGGTTTCAGCCTCCAGGAAGTTCACTATGGATTCAGTGAAGCCAAGAAATGACAACTGAATGTTCTTGGGATAAAAGGGTCTATACTCGGCTTTATTCTCATGGCGATAGGTCAAGGGCTAGAATCACTTCCAGATCCAGCAGTCTACAGGTCCATTAATCCACATCCATCTCAGCCTTCGCTCAGAGCACTGGGCAGAGCTCTTTACACAGTGACTCAGCCAATAATAGCTTATTGCCTATGGGTGTGGAAGCATTATCCTAGCAGTAGGCCAATTACATCATCAAGTAATTTAGGGTCAGGTGAGGATCCTATCCATAGGAAGTTCATTTTCCCCACTGATAGCAAACTACACTAATAGAAAAAGTTTTTGTGCCTTATATTCAAAAGTAAAAGGTACATGTGTGACTCATTTAACTGTTCATTTGCAAAAATGCTTTTAAGACTGAGGATAAATTATGTATGCCTGTAGCTCTGGGAGGGAGAGGGTACCCTGCTCGGGGCGAGTTGCCTATGAATCTGTTCAGACTGATGGATGACAACAGATGAGAGTTTGGGGAAAGGTTTTATTTCTCACAGCTCAGTCTTTCTCTCAGGTGGTATTCTCTGCCTCCCACTTGCTCAGCTCCACTCATCAACCCCTAAGTCCTTCCTCTCCTGCCCTCTGGCAAGCCAGCTCCATCTGTCCCTCCAGCCACAGCATGCACTCCCCAGCCTGCCGCTTCTAGGAGGAACTCCATAGGTGGGTTCCTGGTAACTGGTGGGCACCAGACCAATTATGCACCAGGAACAGAGGGAAGGAGAGAATGGCCACCACTCTCCACTCCTTACCCCAGATGGACTGGAGGCTCTGCTGTGGTAAACAGTCGTTGGTATGCAAATAGGCCAAGGCCAGGAGGGAAATTCTGGGTGAAACCTTCCAGTTAACCCACAATGCCTTAAACGAAATGAAGGCAATAAGCAAGTCCCCTACCTGTAGCCCTTAAAAATTGTTAAATAACTAGATCAAAACAAGATGGAATGAAACTGGATTATTGTCTAACTCCATACACAAAAGTATGGATCAAAGTATGGATGTTCAAAATGGATCAAAGACCTGAATGTAAGTCATGAAACCATAAAACTCTTAGAAGAAAACATAGGGAAAAATCTTTTGAATATAAATATAAGCAACTTTCTCCTGAACACATTTCCTTGGGCAAGGAAAACAAAAAATGAACAAGTGGGACTACATCAAACTAAAAACCTCTCTGTACAGCAAAGGACACCATCAGCAGAACAAAAAGGCATCCTACAGTACGGAAGAATATATCTGTCAATGATTTATCTGATAAGGGGTTAACATCCTAAATACATAAAGAATTCATATGCTTCAACATCAAAAAAACAAATAACCTTATTTAAACAATGGGTGGAGGACCCGAACAGACATTTCTCCAAATTAGAAATACAGATAGCCAATAGGCACATGAAAAGATGCTCCACATTGTTAATCATCAGGGAAATGCAAATTAAAACCACAATGAAACGTCACCTCACACCAGTTAGGATGGCCAACATTCAAAAGATAAGGAACAACAAATGCTGGTGAGGATGCAGAGAAAGAGGAACCCTCCTACACTGTTGGTGGGAATGTAAATTGGTACAACCATTGTGGAAAGCAGTATGGAGGTTCCTCAAAAAACTAAAAATAGAAATACCATTTGACCCAGTAATTCCACTCCTAGGAATTTACCCAAAGAAAACAAGATCCCTGATTTGAAAAGACATGTGCCCCTATGTTTATCACTGCACTATTTACAATAGCTGAGATATGGAAGCTATTCCATATCAGTAGATGAATGGATAAAGGTGTGGTACATATACACAATGGAGTATTATTCTGCCATAAAAAGAAGAGAAATCTTCCCATTTGCAATAACATGGACGGATCTAGAGGGTATTATGCTCAGTGAAATAAGCCAGGCAGAGAAAGACAAATACCAAATGGCTTCACTCATTTGTTGAGTGTAAAAACAAAACAAAACAAAACTGAAGAAACAAAATAGTAGCGGACTCACAGATTCCAAGAAGGGACTAGTGGTTACCAAAAGGGAGGGTTTGGGGTGGAGGGGAGGGAGAAGGGGATTAAGAGGCACAATAATTCACAATCACAATATAGGTAGGTCACAGGGACAGTAGTACAGCATGGAGAATACAATTAATGACTCTATAACATCTTACTACATTGCTAGACAGTGACTGCAATGGAGGGGGTTAGGACTTGATAATACAGGTGAATGTTGAACCACTGTGTTGTATATTTGAAACCATCATAGATTGTATGTCAATACTTTAATTTTAAAAAAGGATGTAATTAGTGCTTTCAAAAACTACTAAATAGATCACATGTGGGAAGTTATTCCTAAAGTAGTGAAGACTGAGTATAATACAAACCACCCTCAAAGCATTCACTAACTAGCACATTATTTTCCCTTACATACACACACATACCAAGGCCTCAGATGAGGATTCACTTAAGGAAAAAAAAAGATTCTCAACTAACTGGAACTAAGATTCACCAGGAAAACATTGAGTTCACACTTTTGAGTCCCAACTAATCTTTTGAGTCCAGACTAATGTACCACAGAATCTCTAGATTAGTGGTTTTCTAATCTCGATTAATATGCCATATAACTACACCTTAGACTCTCCTGGCATTGGTGGAGGGGGGGGGGTCAGCATTCAAAAACTATCATCTGAAACTCTGGGGATGATGCCAGGGAAAAGCTAGGTTTCCCAAGTGATTCTATGTACCAGGCTGCAACCATCTCCCTAGCAAGATCTATTGGCCACCTTCATGACCCTAGTGAGAGCCCCTATCTTCCCTGAAGGATTAATATAAACAATTTCCATTTGTGGGGAAGACACTGTTACAATACCAAAACCACTGATTTGACTTGGAATGGCTTACTTGTAATCTTGATGTACAATATATTTTCAATTGTTTCCTGTAAATACTGAAAACCTATTGACACCTTTCAGTAAGATTTTTGGCTGCAAGGAGTGGAAATTCTAATGACCTCAAAATAAGGGGAATTCACTGCAAGAAAAGGCTGGCAGAGCTAGAGGTCAGTACTGCCCTATCTCCCCAAGACACACAGGCACTCTCAATTCTTCTCTGCTTCTTACTACAGTCTACTTCATTCCTCTCTCTGGATGAGACTTTTTTTTTAGTTGTTGCTCCCTCATAATTTATATTTTTCTATATAGAATTTGACTAGCCAAACTTATTTTTGCACAAAGTTAGTCTCATTCACCTATAGATAGGCTATCCTTGGACCAGTTCTTAGCCCTACTCACCTAGGGTGCTGGTGAAGCTCATGGTCACATAAGTATTGGGTGTATAAGTGGGGATGGGGCCCCAAAGACACCATCATAGATTAGTGAATGAGGTCACACAGCAAATGACTGACAGGGCTGGTGATACAGGAAGATTGTCCAAGACATTCAGGGTAGCACCCGACCTGCAATTTAAAACTTTGCCAATGCTTGCAGTAAACATGACCATTTTTCTCAAAACTTGATTCTGTTCTTCTTATGAAGTTTGAGGTACACTGTGGTTTTCCTAGAGTTTCCATGAAATTATTCTAAGCTGCTGCTTCTAAGACCATGAATATAACTAGGCAGTTAGTTCAGTCTTCTCCCCTGAGAGATGTTTTGGTTGCCAAATAATCATACTATTTGATTATGTACAAAATAAAGGTTTCAAATCAGAAAGTACACAGTTGCTCTGCCAACAATGGTCTCACCACACTTTCAGTAGTTTCTTTCTGAGAACTTCCTCACACTTAAATCATCAACTATCTTCTCTCTTTCACCTTACTGTAACGAAAGCTGCCTTCTCTTCTAGGCTATGCAGCAGGGGCGGGGTGAACAGCCCTGACAAAAGTTACCCCCTGCTTTAGTAGGTGAATTGGTATCATAGGTATTATAGATATAAATCCTCAACTTTCTCCCATTTAAAGACTAATCAATATCAGTTATCTTAGAAAACAAAAGATCACTGACATACTAGCATATTGATATGTTTTCCCTATCTAATTTAACAGTCAAGTTTAAATAGATAAAATTCAGTTTCATTTTAATCCTTTGATTTTATTATTGTAAAGATAAACAACTTCAAGCTGTATTG